TTTGCAATTTTTGATTGCGTACCTCAATGTCAAAAGCAATTACGTCAATAATTAGTTGTTTGTTTACTCATTTCCAGCAAAATTCAGTAAAAGGTACGCGAATGTAACTATGTGGGCACAAAATGCTAAATGCCTTAACCATTTATGCATCAGCGCCGATATTTTTAATCCTTTTCGTTAATTTCTATTTAAAATATAACGCACTGTTGCAAAATTTAAATTGCGCCCATCAAAATTTCAAACTTTTTAATCAGGACTCGAATCTTCATAAGGTATTACTCGTCACGTAAAAACGGTTTTCATGTTATGACATACGCGAACGTACTCTATATCCCATTTATCATTTCTTTCGTATGATTTTCGATCCATGAACGGATGTTACGATTCGAGCTCAGAGTTTTTAGAATTTTTTTCGAGTAGATATGCAGTTATGTAGTACATTCAAATTCAAAGTAATTAAGTGCAAGCTTTGTAGTGCCTAGGAATACCATTGATTTTTGACAATTTTTTTCGATGATGGTATATCGCTCTTTATTATATTGAAATAGAATGGGCTACCGAACTGTAGCTATACTTAAATTTTGTTAAATCTAATGCCGAATTTCCACTAGGCATTGAAATTACAAAATATTTATGCCATTTAAAAAATGCCATGTGGGAATGAACTTATTGACATGATTATTTTTTAATGCCCAACTTTGACATTAATAAAATAGTCATTGAGTTAATCTCCGCTTGGCATTTTTTTTTAATGACATCCATTTTTTGTCATTTCAATACCTAGTGGAAATTCGGCATTATTAAAAACTTTGGTAGCATTTTATTTTTTTTTTAATTCTCAGGCTTTTGAAGAAGTTCGCAAAATTAATTGACATGATTTTTGTTACAAATTGAGCTAAATTCTTAATAAAAATTAACGAAAAAGATAATGGAAGACATTTTGAATATCGTAAAAAAAACAAAGAAACGAATACATCTGTGAGTAACTTTCTCTTATTTTGGAAGTTATTACTTTTATCGAGACAGATTTAAATTTTCGGTAGCAAGTTTGGGTTGCGTACGATAATACAGATTACACAAAGGCAATAAATAAGTAAATTTTTAAAACAGTGATTTTTATTGTGTAAAAGTGGTTCCATATTAATTTCCTTGTATTCGCTATTAAATACACAAACTTCTCACTTCTTCTATATTTACTCCTGCACGCATTCTGATCATAATTTAGCTTATTTGTCCTTGCTATCTCCCTTACCACCACGTATTCTACCGGTACGACGGGCAGCGATAAGACCGACCTTACGACCAGCAGACGTACCACGTTTGACTGTCGAAGCTTTACCAATATGTTGATGGTTACCACCACCGTGAGGATGCTCAACGGGGTTCATAGCCACACCACGAACCTTTGGCCAGCTGTTGCGTTTCACCTTATACTTGTGATATGCACGACCAGCCTTCAAGATGGGCTTATCGATACGACCACCACCGGCAACAATACCAACCATAGCACGATTGGCGGAGGGCACAACTTTCTTGGCACCAGACGGCAGCTTGACACGGGTCTTCTTGGTGTCGGGATTGTGGGCAATCACAGTTGCGTAGTTACCTGATGTACGTGCCAAACGGCCACGATCACCAGTCTTCTCCTCCAAATTGCAAATGATGGTACCTTCAGGCATGACTGACAGTGGCATCACATTGCCGATTTGCAAGGTAGCTTTGCGGCCACAGTACACGAATTGGCCGGTATGCATGCCCTCTGGTGCAATGAACAATTCCTTGCGAATTTTGTAGCGATAGGGGTCACGGAAGTGTACAACAGCCAAGGGAGCACCGCGGCCGGGATCATGGATAATTTCCTGTAAAAAATTATTCACGTTTAACTACTTGTTACTAGCATTTTTATTGCATTAATTTACCTTAACCACGCCACGAATGTATCCATTGCGTTCAGAGAAATCCAAAGGTCTTAATTTGGCGGCTCCCTTACGCCTCTTGACATGGGCCTTGAAGACGGACCCAGCGCCTTTACGTTGTGCACGAATAACACGACCCATTTCTGGCTTTCAATACCTGTAAATCAAAGAATGCGTATAAATCGTTAGAGCTGCATTACTAATATACAAGTATAGGGCCGTCGCCGTCGCCATCACACAATTCGTGAGTACACAAAAAAGTATATCAAAATATAACAAACCAATAAAATAGTTTCTTAACAATAATAAGAATCATTTAAAATTCACATTTCAATTAAAATTTCTCGGCGATGGCTCAAGCAAATTAAAATATTTTAAGATTAAATTTTAGCAAAGAACACAAAACACCCACCAAGCCTTGAAAATCAGAAAAGAAAGAGAAAGAGGAAGAAAAGTACAAAACACGAGAATTTGACATTTCGCAGTCAGTACTGCCAACTTTCAGAACTGACATCCAATAAGTGTGGTGAAAAATTCGATAGCGGAGAGAACGTACTTTACGGCGCGTTTACATTAGACAATGCTGCCAAGACGATAAAGAAATAAGTATTTGTCAAAAACCCTGATAATTGTCTCCGTGACGTAGGCGTTCTGACAATAAAGAATGCCGACTGTATATTTTCATAGTTTCAGCTTTAAAACGCAAAAAAAGAATATTAAAAAAATGTAATTTCTTTCGATGCTCTTATCCATATTTTAGGCTATCTGCACACTTGTCGTCCAATCACAGTTGCGTTATCGTCTCGCCCTGAAATTTTGAGCCGAGCATATGCATTTCAAAGGAGATCTGCACACTTGTCGTTATCGGCTAGTTATCGGCAAATCGTAGAAGATGCAGAAACGGATAAGTACGGCACTGTCGTTTGCTAATCGTTGTGCACGCATTGTTTGTTTACATTTTATGGGGAAAAATTAGTGAACAAGTTAATATTTGCATTAAAATTGCATAAAAATTAATATTTTTTGCATAAAATCTGTGGAAGTTATTACAAAGTGGATAACTGCATTAAAATTCAATAAATGTGAGCGTTTTAACTATAAAATATGACGAAATTGTAAAAAGTCTCTTTGTGCATGCACAAAACACATTTCAGGAAAAGAAAAGAAGAGATAATAATGAAAAATTATATCTAGAATTGTTGCAGCACAGTCTATATTTTAAAAATTGCAGGTTTTTGTAAATATTTCGCAAAATATCAACCAGAAAAACAGAAAATACCTGCTCCAAGTGAATTTTTAGACGCCAAATGAATTGAAATATCACGACCGAGTGTGCGAAAGTGTAGTCGTCATGTAATCGTTGCATCATGATTGTGACGATGAAGCAACTATGCTTGGCCGACCAATGTGCAGAAAGCCTTATAGCACGATCTGGACACCAAAATCAAAACTAGACTATAAATTCCGCACTTGTCGTCAAACGCAGCACAAATTATTGTACAATAACACAAGCATGAGCAAAATATCAAAGTGGTTTTGATTTTAGCGCAATAACTGTGCAATTTAGTACAAACAACCCCACGCACGACACTAACGACCGACTTACAGGCTAACCTAATATTCACGCACGCCGCCAATTTATTGTCAAAAATTTCTCACGCACATGCAACTTGTATGAGATCAACCGAAATTGAACGGCGTGCGTATGAAGCTAACTCAATTTCCAATTTTTGTTCTGCGTGACATTTT